TTACATATGCTTTGCATGGCTCTCTCAATGATAATGCTTTCTATTACTGATTACACTCACTGTTCAATCTTCAATCAAGAATGAAATACTATAAAGTCAAGAACTGTAAATTTTAGGCTTGTATCCTATGCAACAAGACAAATTAGAAAATCTGTTCAATCTTCAAGGATAGAATGACTTAGAACTGTAACTTTTAGGTTGTATATCCTCTGCAATAAGACATGGCTTAGAAAACAGTAGATGCTGAAAGAATTAGAAAATATGCGCTTTAACTTCACAAGAAGAGCCCCACTTGACTGGATATCTCACTATCTATCTTGGGTTATAAGACTTATTAGCACTTCATGGCAAAAATAACTTATGAGAAAATCTCCTGGTTTTAGGTAAAAAGAACTGTAACTTAGACCTAGTTTTGCAAATTAAAGCCAAGTAGGGAAGCAAGTGACACAAACTGATAAGAAATTTTCCACACAAATTCAACGTTTTAGTCATCTATTAATAAAAGAATATAAAATTGAAAATTTCTGGAAACTTTAAGAAATCAAAAGCATTTATGTACAGTGCATCCTAAAAGCATATATTAAAGAGCATACCAGTGTATGAAACTTCATACACAGCATTCTATGGGAAATAAATGTATTGGTCATTTTTTGGATACCAAATGCCTTGTACACTACTTAAATGCTTGTTATTTTAAAAAGAAAGTAAAAATCATCTTTTAAAAATATTTGTTTAATAAAGTAAAACATAAAAGTGTTTTGAAGAGTCTGAAAAAAAAATATTTTGAAGAGTCTGAAATAACTAGCTATCTGCCTATCTACCTAATATGTATCTATCTAATTTAAGGACCTTTATGTTTTAAAATAAAAATACTTTCATATAGCAACAGTGAAAACTATGGGCTTGGGTGATAATGATGGGTCCATGTGGGTTCACAAGTTGTAAATATATATATATATATACATATATATACTGCATAAGAGAGACAACTTACAGAAAGTGTGAGAACGTGAGCATGAGGGAATCCCTGAGCCCAAGTTCAGGAAGATCTGCAGTCCCCATCTACAGCACATCCTTCAGGACACTAACTCTAGAGCCGAGGACACAAGTCAGCCTTGTACCATTTCTGCACCTCCTCAACCTGTTTCTTATAACACTGTTTCTGACTCTTCAGGACGCCTTGGCAGGACCTGCCAATCTCCAGCCTCCTGCAGGGAGATTCTGGCAACTAGACTTGACCATGAATCCTCATGGAAAATCTGATCTCTGTCCTTAGAGGGGTTTTTAGACTCTCCATGGAATTGAACCCCTCATGGAAAAATAGTTTTCTGGGGGAGGTTCAACTCTTGCACATTGTCCTAAAACTTCTTGTGGGCTTTCATTTGGATTCCTTTGGGGACATCTGATTTCTTGGAAAACTGGACACATAATCTCTTGGAATATTTCTTTGGGAACATCCATTGTCTTGGAATATTGAACACTCGAATCGTGTTCCCTGAAATGAACCACTTTCTCCTCGGACTCCTATTTCTCCTTGAAATCTTGAATGTATTTCAGCTTTATGTTCTCTGAGAACTATTTGTCTTTCTCAGACAGGACCATTGTCAGCCCCTAATACTCAGTTTGGGGTGTTTTGGGAAGTATTAGGGCCATAAGTTCTTTAAAAAATGGGTAAGCTTTCAGGGGCTTCTTGGGTAAATTAGAATAGTGTGTGTGTGTGTGTACATGCATGTGTTTTGTTTTTTTGAGGATTTTTTAAATATTCCTTAAGTTCCAGGAATAATTCTTAACGTGCACGGTTTCCTCATGTTGTAAAAGTTTCTAACCATTCCATTATACACATTTCTCCGGAAGTATCTTACAAGTAATTTTTCCCCAGTCTATCAGGGATGGAGATATTTTGAATGGGTGGCCATCACTGAGCAGGGGACTATTCTCCATGTCTTCTAGTAATTTCACAAGATCTTTCTTGGACACTGGAAACTCCATTTCTAGAATTTGGGGCCACTTACAAGGTGCCAGTGATGCAATCACCATCCCAAGAGCTTGACCATCCTCACACTAAAGACGTAGAAGGTTAATTCCTTCTTGAAATTCTATAGTGTGTGGGATGCAATGATTCCACAGACAATTGAAGGAAAATCCCTTTCCTTATATTTCCTAAATGGGAAAATCACACCACACTTGTTTTATATCAATTCTATAATCTAAGTTGACCCTAAAAAATAAAATGAAAATTGTTGCAAATCCTGAATTGAAATTTGTGTTTGGATTTCAGATGCAACATCTGTACTCTTCAACATTCCCTTATCTCTTCAGCCTGTTTTCCACTCAGTTTTACAGGGTTTATCCTAAATGGAACTTAACCAAAAAATGAGTTATTCAATCAAGAGTGTTAGAATCAGAGATGTAATCCAGGAAAGTGTAGTAAAAGGGTGAAAATGAAAAGAGAAATGGCTGAAAGGAAAGGCCTTGGATTCCATACCACAGAGAATGGCCTTTTGTGAATTGAAGGACCAAGGGTCCAAGAGAGGATCTGGAGATAAAATGAGATAAACAGAGAAGCTGGTTTGAGATCTGTCAAAAAGAGACTGATTGTCTTAGGGAAATCTCAAAATCAACAGTATAAAACAAGTTTCTGTAGTAGATATTTTTAACCTCAAAATAATGGAATTTCCTTAAGCTGTGAATCTGCAGCTCAGTTTCCTCTCTACTCTTGACTTTATCCCTAGTACTTTATGTCTATTATGTTCACTATCTTTTGGAAAATTTTGTCAATGAAGGAATAATATTTTGTCTATACAGTTCAGTTCAGTCTCTCAGTCGTGTTCGACTCTTTGCGACCCCATGAACCACAGCACACCAGGCCTCCCTTCTATCACCAACTGCTGGAGTCTACCCAAACCCAAATCACCGTCCATTGAGTTGGTGATGCCATCCAACCATCTCATGCTCTGTTGTCCCTTACTCCTCCTGCCTTCAATCTTTTCCAGCATCAGGGTCTTTTCAAATGAGTCAGCTCTTTGCATCAGGTGGCCAAAATATTGGCGTTTCAGCTTCAACACCAGACCTTCCAATGAACACCCAGGACTGATCTGCTTTAGGACGGACTGACTGGATCTCCTTGTAGTCCAAGGGACTCTTAAGAGTCTTCTCCAAAACCACAGTTCAAAAGCACCAATTCTTCAGCACTCAGTTTTCTTCATAGTCCACCTCTCACATCCATACATGACCACTGGAAAAACCATAGTCTTGACTAGACAGATCTTTGTTGACAAAGTAATGTCTCTGCTTTTTAATGTGCTGTCTAGGTTGGTCATAACTTTTCCTCCAAGGAGTAAGCATCTTTTAATTTCATGGCTGCAATCACCATCTGCAGTGATTTTGGAGCCCAAAAAAATAAAGTCTGACACTGTTTCCACTGTTTCCCCATCTATTTGCCATGAAGTGATGGGACCAGATGCCATGATCTTAGTTTTCTGAATGTTGAGCTTTAAGCCAACTTTTTCACTCTCCTCTTTCACTTTCATCAAGAGGCTCTTTAGTTCTTCTTCACTTTCTGCCATAAGGGTGGTGTCATCTGAGGTTATTGATATTTCTCCCAGGGCAGTCTTGATTCCAGCTTGTGCTTCTTTCAGCCCAGCATTTCTCATGATGTGCTCTGCAAAGAAGTTAAATAAGCAGGGTGACAATATACAGCCTTGATGTACTCATTTTCTTATTTGGAACCAGTCTGTTTTTCCATGTTCGGTTCTAACTGTTGGTTTCTGACCTGCATACAGATTTCTCAAGAGGCAGATCAGGTGGTCTGGTATTCTCATCTCGTGAAGAATTTTCCACCATTTATTGTGATCCACACAATCAAAGGGTTTGCCATAGTCAATAAAGCAGAAATAGATGTGTTTTTCTGTTTCTCTTGCTTTTCTGATGATCCAGCGAATGTTGGCAATTTGATCTCTTGTTCCTCTGTCTTTTCTAAAACGAGCTTGAACATCTGGATTTTCACAGTTCACATATTGCTGAAGCCTATCTTGGAGAATTTTAAGCATTACTTTACTAGCGTGTGAGATGAGTGCAATTGTCCAGTAGTTTGAACTTTCTTTGGCATTGCATTTCTTAGGGATTGGAATGAGAACTGACCTTTTCCAGTCCTGTGGCCACTGTTGAGTTTTCCAAATTTGCTGACTTATTGAGGGCAGCACTTTCACAGCATCATCTTTTAGGATTTGAAATAACTCAACTGGAATTCCATCCCCTCCACTAGCTTTGTTCGTAGTGATACTTCCTAAGGCCCAGTTGACTTCACATTCCACGATGTCTGGCTCTAGGTGAGTGATCACACCATCATGATTATCTGGGGCTTTTGTCTATACGGATTCTTTAATTCATGTGTTTCTTCACTGATTCACCTAACACTTCTATGTGTTCTGTTCTTAGTACTGCACAGAGAGTGGGATGTAACAATAATATGAAATAAGATAAGAACTGTCTGAACTGTCAGAGGAATTTGACAAATTGAGAATTATTCAAAATATCTACTAACTTGAGAAAAGTTTGCTGAAGAGTGTAATGAGAAAGTATATGCTAGAGTCAGTAAATGGTATTGGGCATTGCTTCCTTTTGGAGGTCACGCATATGTCCCACAATGAGATAGTCCTGGTTTTACAATTTCGTATATTTCTAAAAACCATTGATTATGTAGTTTAAAGGTAGTGACCTTTATGACACATAACTTTAGTTTAATATAATCCTTATTTTAAAAAGAAAAGCAATTGACTATATTCTATGAAATACTCCATAATGAATGTTTATTAAAATTTAATTAACAGATTTATACATACAACAATTTTATGCCATTTTGTAAACATACAATCACTATGTCACATTAAATAACAATGCACTGCTGAGCACAGTCAGGTATCCTGTGGCCTCACATGAAGTTAAGGGCAGTATTATCCCCAGAGAAGAAGCTCCAATAAATGGCCTGAGAAATGGACAATTCATGGAGATTTAAGGCAAAGGAAAGGTATCAGAGGGGAGGAGAAAGCAGAAGGAAGGGAACTATATATGAGGGAACTTCTGAAAACATCATAGAAGCTCACAGTTCCATTGTCATAATCCAAAAACACTCCAATTCTACCCAGAGGCCTTTTCACAAAATGAACTAAGCGTGGGGAGGTGGTGGACAGAATATACTGACTGTTCACCTTTGTAGAACACAGAAAAAATGCTTCTTCAGCACCAATACTGATACTGGTATCACGTGTGAAGATGCTTTTACAGACTCCCAGAACCCAGCTGGAGGACAGTGCCACGTCCAGCTCCCAGTAATGCCTCCCGGAGGTGAAGGCCCAAACTCCCCAGGACACAGCACACGCCCCACCCCAGGGCTGTCTGGACCCGCCGGGATGGTCATCCTCAAACAGTACACTTGCATCATCCAGGATCGCATGGTGAACAGTCGTTGTCTGACTCAGAACATTATTCACTGAGGAAAGAGTAAAAATTGTGTCAGCCAGTTGAATTTCCATGTCTCTGAGAGGCATAGACTCTCTACACAATAAGCTTTTTAATTTTCCTTTCCTCCTCCAAGGAAATCAAAACAGACAGCAAAGGAAGTTAGAGTGACTCTTCTCTGAAGAATAAAAGTTATTAAAAAAAGACATATATCATGAACTGGGTGAAGTCTGACTTAATGTCAATCTCTTCATAGTTTACTTTAGGACTCACCTAAAAACATTTATTCTTATATTAGAAAACTTTTCTTTTGTCCTTTGTACTTAATACTATGGAAACTGCAGATGGTACTTTGTTATCACGTGGATATTTATGAGGGTATAATCTCTACCTATTACATTTTCAAAGGTCAAAAGAACTGATAGAAATCCATCTATGAATAATTTGGAAGCTTCAAAATAGAAGTTCTGACTTACAGTGTTCATGCATCCCTTGCCTTAAAGTTGTTGTGAGATTGAGAGCATTACAATTCTTCTGCCAAAGCCCATTTCAGTTTTTCTGTTATTTATTCCTAACTTTAGAAATAATAAATATTCTTTGGACAATGTGTAATAAATGTAGCTATTATGAAGTGAAAGTGTTAGTCCTTCAGTCCTGTTCGACTCTTTGCGACCCCATGAACTGTATGTAGCCCACCAGGCTGCTCTGTCCATGGAATTCTCTATGAAAGAATACTGGAGTGGATTTCCATTCCCTTCTCTAGGGATCTTCCCAACCCAGGGCTTGAACCTGGTTCTCCTGCATTGCAGGCAGACTCTTTATCATCTGAGCCACCAGGGAAGCCCATACAGTGAATTAAAAAGCACCAAAGAAAAACAAAACAAAACAAACAAACAAGAAAAAAGCAGCAATGATGGATTTAAGCTCAAGAGTGAAATAAACTGAGTAAGCAACATATTTATGGTCACTCACAAAACTAAATATTCTGTTTATAATCACAGTAACAACCTGATTGCTCTCCTTTAGCTCATCCTATTTCATATATATTTATATATATGTGTATGTGTATATA